AAAATTTCGTATGGGGTAAGCAAAAACTGATGAATTTTATAGTTTAGTAAAAAAACATATTTCTATAAGAATAAGGTAAGATTTTACTGAACATTGTTCAATAGTTGTTTATTTGATATGTGTTATGTGCTGTGATTTAGTTTATTTGGTTTTCACAAAGCTGGATCTTTGTGCCCCGCCTTGTCCATTTTAGATGAATTTTGTTAATTTACTATAAAAGCGCGCAGATATGTTTCTCTAATTCAGTAACGCTAATGATTGAAAAAAAGATTTTCCTTCCTCCGTCTTATTTATATACTCTACAATTACTTATAATTTAGAATTAATTAATATTATTTATAATGTATGGGGTACTTTTCGATGAACTAGAATTCCATTGGCAAAATCTTAGGTTTTACAGATACACTATGATTTTATTGAACGAATAAATTTATGAAATTCAAAACCAAGTGTAAATGATATGGTGTTTTATCTTAAATACAAGCCTAATCGATTTTTTTTGACAAGAATTTATAGTTTATTATAAAAAAACGGTTGATTATAAATACGGAATGACTGATCTATATCAAAAATTAAACACTAATTCAGAACTGATATTTTAAAGTAAAATTAGAATTTCTTACGAAAAACTTAAATAATTCCCGACTAATATCATTCGAATTAGGTAAAAGTGATCATGATGAATAGTAAGGTGACCATACGTTCAGGTTTGGACTCGGATTTCCACCTTTTGTCCCGGGTTTTGCTAATCGTAAAAGCAATATTAGTCCCGGATTTTTTGTTAAGGATTAACCCAGGTTTTCGAAAAGTATATGTTTAAAATAAATTTTCGCTCTTACTTGATAATGAAATTACAACTACCCATCAGATATTTGAAACTTATACATAGATACATATATGCTCATATAAAAAAATACGTTTGAATGAGAGAAAATTGTCGAATACAAAATACCAAAGACGGGTTAAAATAACCTTCATATTAATTAATTCAAACTTTCGTTTTCAATTTCATTAATTCGAAAATTAACAAAAATATTAAAAACTAACGAATAAGTGCTCATTTTTTCAAATTCATTATGAAGAAAAAAGAAGAGTAATATATGTAACATCATAAGTAAAAGAAGAGTAACATGTAATAAAATTCTTATTAAAAGTCCACAATTCCGATTGAAGAAAATGATGCATTTAAAAAAAACTGTTTTCTATTGTATCCTTAAATAGTATTTATCATATCAAATCCTTTAAATTGTATTGTGATTTTAACATCCTGTAATTTAGCATAAACACACCCCTCCTGGTTTAGGTTAACTAAAATTTGCCGTCCCGGTTTTGACTTAAAAAAAAATGTTGACCCTTCACGAATAGATGATGTATCGAGTTTTAGCAAATAATTTTAACATTTTTCAAATCTGTACAGGCAATTTTCAGAATTCATCGAAAAAAGTACAAAAAACTATTTTTAGCATACACAATTCTTTCAATATTTTGTGTTAAACTTCTTGTCCTCCGTCAGTAATGATCATTTATAAATTAGTTCGGTCAAATTAAAAGTTCTCAAAAAGTAGGAATTAATCGAGTCTCAACAGCATAAGTCATTTCTCACTGGGTTTGTTCTGAAATAAATAGCTTTAAGGTTGTTTCGGGTACAGTAACCTACAAATGCCAAGTGGAAGGCAGCATGCAATAATAAATATATTCATACGATAATAGTGTAAAAACTATCTATTCCAGTTGGTAGAATAACATTTACGTTGCGACTCGGTCAAATTAACTCGTTTTGTAGCACTAACGTTGTTTAATATTTGCTAATGCTAACTGCTCGATATAGTGCGGGTAATGCAAATAGAATTCGCATTGTGCATCTGTAGGTAGATTGTGGGATTACATATATGCAGAATATATAATTTAATATACATAAGCGTGTACTTGAACTGATCCTGCCCGACATCAGATCATCACGATGGTATCATGACGACGCTTTAGCCGCATAACAACATTACGTGATTTTAACTAATAGAGATTCCTCACGTCCACGCAGGAAAATGCAAACAATTAAAAAATTTATTAATATTATCGAAACCGATTTATCGAATAAATAAAACGGTAGTAGTCCGAATGTGCTTAGTGGTTTAAACTCCGGCTTTGCGAGGACGAGGTTGAAAAACACGATACGTGCGACCTAATCCCATGCAGTAGTGATGTCAATTTTCATTTTAAAATAGAGATTAACTAGTGGGGTGTATGGCATCGTGCCTTAAGGCAAATTGCTGGAACTTCCCGTACCGTAACGAAATGTTCGAGGAATACTGAATGTTTTCAAATAGATTATAATTAATATTGTAACATTGTCTAATACTTATAAGAATTATATAAACTGAATTGCAAAGATAAAATTATTCGTTTAAAGTATATTAGAACTATAGTCAGAATTAAAAATAAAATCTGAATTATCTATTAACTATTTATGTATATCGATATACAAAAAAAGTGAAAAAAAATTGAAAAGAAAAGTTGAAACAAAAGATTTTTTTCCAAAATCAATTATTTTGTTAAGACAAGCAGAAGTTCTTTGAATCATTTAAATCGGACGCTTAGTTCTCTCAAAAACTGCCTTCTTTCACATTTAGCACCGTATTTTCGAAATAGCTGAGCCTGCCTTTGCCAAAAACTAATAAACACTTCTCCCAACTAATTACTAATTAGTAATTGAAATTTAATTACTAATTGAATGTTTTTTAAATCATTCAAATCGGATGCTCCGTTCTCTCAAAAACTCGATTTCTATTTTCTGCACTCTTTGCACTTTATCTCCGTAACTGCTGGACCTGCCTTTTCCAAAACTAATCAGCACATCTCCTTATCAATAGGAATCGATTGTTTTTTGAATCATTCAAATCGGTTGATCCGTACGCCCGAAAACGTGGACAAAAAATTGTATCCATACATACATACATACACACACACACATCCATTTTTTTAGGTATGCCAAAATGTTCAGAAACCTTCAAACGTCGAGAAATGTAAAAAATTTCAATTCCGATTTTCGGCCCATTACAATAACTTACCCTACGGGAAGTTAAAAATATGTTTCCAAATTAAGTGATTCAAATACTAAGTAAGTATATAAAAATCAACAGAATGAAAATTCAATGTAATACATGAGATTGAATGACCCAGCTGCAGATCAGCTCATTGAACCACCTTTGGAAAAAAGGTGTTTATGAAGAAATTAAAATATATAGTAAAGGAAAAGTAAATATGTAATAGGGTAAAACCAAATAAACTACATCGCAACACAACGTGTATTAATGAAGGAACTATTGGACTATGTTCAATAAAATTCCCAGTTTATTTCTTATTATAGAAGTGTCTTTTTTACTGTTTTTCTATAAGCTGGGTAAAAAGAGACAGTCAGGGGGGCAGTATATCCAATGTTCAAATTTCAATGAATTTTACGA